CCTCTCGCTCTTCTCGCTCTCTCGCTCTCTCGCTCGGCCGCTCTCTCCGCCTCTCTCGCTCTTCTCCCGGCCCTCTCTCGCTCCGGACCCTTTTTTTTCTTCCTTCTTCTGCTCGCGCTCATTCTCTCGCGCTGCTCCGTCCGTCCTCTCTCCCTCCTCTCTCCCTTCGCTCTCTCTCTCGCTCCTCTTCTTCTCTCCCGCTCTCGCTCGTCCGCCGACCTGACGGCGTCGCGGCCCTCCGCCGCCTCTGGTCCTCGCGCTCTCTCGTTCTCCCCGGGCCTCTCGCCTCCTGCTCTCTCTCTTGCGCTCCGGCCCTCTCTCTCGCTCCTGCTCTGTTCCTTTCTTCTCCTTCTCCTTCTCCCTGTCTCCCTCTCCCTCTCCCTCTCCTTCCCCATTCTCCTTCTCCTTCTCCTTCTCCTTCTCCCTCTCCCTCCTCCTTCCCCTTCCCCTTCTCCTCTCCTTTCTCCCTTCTCCTTCTCCCTCCTTTCTCCCTCTCCCTCTCCTAACCCTCCCCTCTCTCCTCCCTCCTTCCCCCTTCTCCCTCTCCCTTCTCCTTCCCCCCTCCCTCTCCCTCTCCTGTCCCCCTCTCCTTCTCCCTCTCCTGTCCCCTTCCCTCTTCCCTCGCCCTCTCCTTCCCCCTCTCCCTCTCCCTTCTCCTTCCCTCCCCTCTTTCCCTCTCCCTTCCCCCTCTTCCCGTCTCCCTCTCCTTCCCCCATCCTCCCTCCTCGCCTCTCCTCCCCCCTCTCCCGTCTCCCTCTCCTCCCCCCTTCCTCTCCCTCATACTTCCCCTCTCCTCTCCCGCTTCCTTTCCCCTTCTCCCTCTCCCTCTTCCTTCCCCCTCTCCCTCTCCCTCTCCCTCCCCCTCTCCCTCTCCTCCTCCTTCCCCCTCCTCTCCCTCTCCTTCCCCCGTCTCCCTCTCCCTCTCCTCCCTCTCCTCCCCCTCTCCCTCTCCTCCCCCCTTCTCCCTCTCCCTCTCTTCCCCCTCTCCCTCTCCCTCTCCTCCCCCCTCTCCCTCTCCCCTTCCTTCCCCCGTCTCCTCTCCCTCTCCCTCGCCTCCCCCTCGCCCTCTCCCTCTCCTTTCCCCCCTCCCTCTCCCTTTCCTTCCTCTCCCTCTCCCTTTCCTTCCCTCCCTTCTCCCTCCCTTTCCACTCTCCTTTCCCCCTCTTCCTCTCCCCGCTCCTTCCCCCTCTCCCTCTCCCTCTCCTTCCCCCTCCCAACTACCCCCTCCCTCCTCCCCCCTCTCTCCCTCACTCACCCTCTCTCCCTCTATTTCGGTTTCTTAGTTTATTAGCCTCTCTGCTTCTGTTTCTCCGTCAATCCTCCTATCTCTGTCCCTCCCTCGAACTCCTCCGATCCTTCCACCGCAATCGTCTGACCAATACAACAAATATGCGAACAATATAGAGCACTTTTGTGAACCGACGTCCACTCGATCCACCTCTCCAACTTCCCTCTCTCTCCACCCCTCCCTTCGCTGCGGCCTCGACCTTTGGCGAGACGGGAATAGGAGCTTTTGTGATAATGCTGGAAAATATGATATATGTGCAAGTGTGTGTGTGGCCTCGGTGTTGTTTGTTGGTGTATGTGGTGTGTGTGTGTGTGTGTGTGTGTGTGTGTTGTGTGTGTGTTGTGGTGGATCATGATAATGTGTGGGACCTGTGTGTGTGTGTGTGTGTGTGTGTGAAGTTTGGCCGCCTGTGTGTGTGCGTGTGCTTACATCGTCGGCTGCAGTGTGCGTGTGCGTGGTGCGTGTGCGCGTGCCTGACTGTAATGTGTGTGTGTGTGTGGTGTGTGTGGCATGTAGCCACCTGTGCGCGTTGTGTGTCGCGCGTGTGGTGTGGTTGTGTGTGTCGGGTGTGTGTCCTGTGTGTGTGTGTGTTTCCTGTCTGTGTGTGTCTGTGTGGTGCGTGTGCGTGTGCGTGGATGTGTGTGCGTGTTCTGTTGTTGTATGATGGGGAAGAAAAGAGAGAGAGGAGATGAGAGAGAGAGGAGAGAGAGAGAAGAGAGAGAGGGAGAGGAGGAGAGAGAGAGACGAGAGAGAGAGAGAAGAGGAGAGAGAGGAGAGTGAGGAAGAGGGAGGAGGAGAGGAAGAGGAGGAGAGGAGAGAGGAGGGAGAGAGAGAGAGAGAGGGAGGGAGGGAGGAAGGGAGGGAGGGGAGGGAGGGAGAGGGAGAGAGAGAGAGAGAGAGAGAGAGAGAGAGAGAGAGAGAGGGAGAGAGAGAGAGGGAGAGGAGAGAGGGAGAGGGGAGAGAGAGAGAGGAGAGAGAGAGAGAGATGAGAGAGAGAGAGAAGAGAGGAGAGAGAGAGAGAGAGAGAGAGAGAGGAGAGAGAGAGAGAACGAGAGAGAGGAGGGAGGAGAGAGGGAGAGAGAGAGAAAGAGGAGAGAGAGAAGAGAGACAGAGAGAGAGAGAGAGAGAGAGAGAGGAAGAAGAGAGGGAGAGAAGACGGAAGAGACGAGAGATCAGAGAGAGAGAAGAGAGATAGAGAGCGGAGAGGAGAGA